GTAAACAAGTGGATGGACTCAGCGGTCGACATCTGTTAGATCTGTAAGTCCGTCTCAGTTTTGAGGAGTGTTGTTGCTCATGATAATCAGACGGTGTTTCTTTTGGTTTCATGGCAGTTTGATGTGAACGCTGACAGGAAGTCAGTTTTCAACACTGTTGGGATCCAAACTCAGCACAAGAGTCCCAACACCCCCCCCCCCCCCCCCCCCACCCCCATCTCGATCGCTCACTGTGTACAAATCTATTGATGACATCACTCCTACAAAGTGTAATAAAAGTGATTCAGCATCTTGTACGGAAGTTATTAAAGAAACTAACGACACGTCTTTGACTTTTCTTCTGTTCCTGAGTAAATGTCTGATTTATCTCCTGAAAGGCGGTGGACGATAATGTTTTTAACATGTTAGCAAAATATCCCTCGAACTAATGGACCCCTTGTAATGGAACCATGAGGAAGTTCTGACCTGACGTTCATCTACAATTTATGAGCTTTGAGAGGCGGTCCGATCTGAGGTGGTTCTGACAGCAGGGTGAAGGTGAAACCACCGGACGGTGGGCCTGGAGCAAAGTTAACTTTTAATCTGTACGCTTTATTTTTCTTAAAGATAAAACTTGGTTAAAAAAAACTAACAAATGGGAACAGGATAATTCCTGGTGAAACAACCTGATCGTGATTAACTGATGAAAATGTCTTCTTTTCCCTCAGTTTGTTGACTTTTATACGTTTGAGTATAAAAATAAAAAGATGCAGGCGTAAAGGACCAAAAGACGAACTGAACGTTGAAGTATAGAATTTAATATTTTCTGGTTTGGAAGGGTAACGTGTATAAATATAAATAATAATAATATATAAATATATAAATAATATATAAATTAGACGTTTGTAAACAACCTGTGATTTGTAAACATCTGTCACAACATACAGCTGTTTTAAAATACTTATTTTTCAGAATATTCAGGTCTCTGATGGACCAGAACCTGTCCAGCTTTAGCCCCGCCTCTTGTAATGACCCTGAACACCTGGTCTCTTGAGACCTGCACAAACGAGTCCAACAGCTTGAAGCTTTCAGGTACCGTTCTGCTACTTTAGGGTTTTAGTTAGCGCTTTGATGTTTTTAGCCTTTGGATGCCTTTAATGTACGATTAACATTTTACTGTTTTAGTTTAGCTTGCATTTAGAAACTAGTGATTGTTATTCCTCCATATAGCTTTCTGCTAGCCATCTGCTACTTTCAGCTAATTTACATTTGGTATTTGGTTATTAGCCTTTTGCCAGCTTTTAGCTGTTTCCACTTTTAGCTTTCAGCCAGCATTTTACTAGTTTTAGCTTCTGCTTAACCTTTTAATACTTTTAGCTTTAATGTAGCATTTTACTGTTTTTAGCTTTAAGTTGGTGTTTTGCTTCTTTTGGCTTTTTATCCAATTGATTAATCAACGGGTCACGTCCTGAAACAACCTGAAGGTCTCAAAGTGGACCAGATGGGAGGGTTCTGACCCGGAACCAAACGGTTGACGAGGGTACCTCATATTGATCTTTGGTGATTTATTACCAGCTGTTAAAATTGTTTACCGAATTTCTGTCTGAAGTTTGTAGAAACAAAGAACGACACGTTGAGTTTAGTGGTTTTATTTCTTGAAGACAGAAGTTCTGGTGGACCAGCAGGACAGTTCTCCCAACATAAACCCAGTTTGATTAAAGTTTTCCCTCAGATCTTTAAACTATCTGGTTTAATATGAAGCAGGAAACAAGAGGTGAAAGGTGAGACACTCCTCTCCATGTGAAGGTCATCCTCAATTCAGCAAGCAGGAAGGTGATAGGCTGAGACTTGACTCCGCCCCCAGTCAGACAGACGCGTGTGATCGGTTCTTAGTGAGTCTCCTCGATGACCTTCGTCACCAGGGTTTTGGTGACGGTGGTTGAAGAAGAAGAAGATGAAGACCTGCAGCAGAAGAGAAACTCGTGATCTAAATGAACGTTTCAACCCAAGTTCGTGACCGAATCTTGATCTGTCCACCTGCAGAGTTAGGAACGTCTTTCAGGTGAGAAGTTTGACGTGTTTGCACCTGATCCTGTGATGAAGGTTAGTTTTTAAGAACTGTCCCGCAGACCTTCGGTTCTTACCCAGATAAGGTTCCTGCTGCCTCTCCGTCCAACAGCCGTCTGTACTCCCCGATCTCCATCTCCAGCCTGGTCTTGATGTCCAGCAGCATCTGGTATTCGTGTCCCTGTCTCTCCAGGTCTCCCTTCAGACCAATCAGCTGCTCCTCCAAACACGTCACCTGTGCAGGTAAACGGAGCGTGAGCGCTGCGCCTCACGGTCTCGCTTCAACACACGAACAAAGCCTCAGAGTCCGGCTCACCTGCATCTGGAAGCTGTTCATCCGTTCAGCGTAGCGCCTGTTGACGTCGTTGAGGGAGGCTTCGAGAGACGCTTTCTGTGAACAGAGGTCGAGGACAGCAGGTGAGACACGTGGACAGGTACAGACATCCACAGGTTGTTTTCAGTGAACAATCAACTGAACAGATTTCAAATTAAATAATCAAAAGCAGGAAGGTCTCTGGTTCTCAGGACACCTGAAGTGGTCCTGATCTTTGGGTTTTACCTGATATCACCTTGATGAACACCTAAAACTGCATTTGCACCTGTTTCCTGTCTACGTCTTTAATTATCTCGAGAAGCTGCAACGTTTCATTCTCTCCGCCTCAATGTTAACTCCCGTCTTTGTCTCTACGTGGATGCCTGGGACTTGTCTCTGCTTTGAATCACATTTCTGTAGTTTGACAAGCACCACACTATTCAACTCCCCAAGTCATGGTGTTCCTCAGGGCTCTGTGCTCTGTCCTCTGCAGTTTACACCATTTAATTCAATAGATGATCTAGACCCAGTGTTTTCTGGGACCCTTTAGACCCAGGTTTTTCTGTGACTCACCATGCTGAGCTGAGACTGAAGCTCAATCTCCAGAGCCTGGAGCTGACTCTTCACATCCTTCACCTCGCTGGACGTCGTCTTCAGGGTCATCTCTGTGGTGGCGACTTCCTTGGAGAGAGCCTCAGACTGAGGAGAGAAGACATCGTGAACATGGAGAACCTGAAGGGTTTTGTCACAAACTTCCACCTGCACCGCCTCCTACCTTGGCCTGGAACCAACCATCCAGCTCTTTGCGGCTCTTGGCGGCGACAGCCTCATAGTGTTCTCTGATCTCCTCCATGACCTTGGTGAGATCCTCCTGAGGAGCAGCATCTACTTCCACGTTCACCTGTCCGCTCACTTGAGTGCGCATGGAGGCCAGGTCCTGCAGGAGGGGGGAGGGGTTAAAATGGCTCCTTATAAAAGTGCGTTTCCTCAAGTTCTGATGCTACAATCAAGGTCCTGGTTACCTCTTCATGGTTCCTCTTCATGGTCTCCAGCTCATCTCTCAGGCTGTCGATCTGCATGCTGAGGTCAGTCTTGGCCACGCCCAGTTCTCCCAGCAGCATCTTCAAGCCGGCGATGTCGGCCTCCACCGACTGACGCATGGACAGCTCGTTCTCGTATCTGCAGGAAGTTCAAAATTAAAACAGTGCAACTCATACATCAGGTGCAAATCAAAATAAATGAAAACGTTACTCAAGATTCAAAATTACAACTTCAAAGAGGAAAATAAGTCTTAAACAAACAGACTTGTTAAATAAGTTGAAGGATAAAACGGGATTATGGTAACAACTCTGAAATTTAAAGTTGTAATAAAATAGAATAAATAATAATAATAAAATATAGTTTTAGAAATGAGGTGGTCTAAAACAGGGCTGTTCATGTGGTGGTACTTCAGTCTGGCCCAACAAAGAGTTCATAAAAAAAAAAGTTTTGGGTTTGGGTTCAGTTTATTGCATTTATGATTCAATGCAACAAATAAACAAATTTAAAAGGTGACATGTGACTGCAATACTTGGTTTGTTCACATAATGACTAACTGCTGGATGTCTGGCCCCTGAGCTGTTGACTCCCAGTAACTGTGGCCCCTGAGCTGTT